TTAAAACCCTTAAGAGACAAGCATGGACTTTCTTGAAATGTATAAGGTAGTAAAATAAGTCTTGAGACACTCTCCCTTCTTACAGCGATAAGTCACACAGCTCACATTTGGGATGGGGATCCAGGATATCACTTGATAGAGCATAGCAAGCTCGATAAAGGAGCGCAAAAGTTTGCAACAGCTTCGACCCACTGTAAGTTCATCCAAAACATGAGTCGTAAAGGCTGAAAAAATCGCGAAAAATTCATATCTGTTCAAAAAATCCTATAAACCTCCAACTTGCTCATAAAATAGACTACATCAGACACTCATATGTGCATTCAATCGTTTCACGCTATAAAGAAGCTTAACGAAAGTGTACTACCACTCAGATGATGATGTCGTGATGCCAGTGAGTCGATAAGTGTGCCAATTTCGCAAAGGAAAAAGTCCATAACTGGCTTTGGAATGGTGCTCGGCAGCTAGGAATTGCATATTTGGAATTAGCTTTGAAGCTGATTCAGTATTTATTAGATTGTCCCGAAGTTTTGTCCGTCTTTTTCATCGCTCACTCAAACTCACAGAACACCAATCCATGGGCGATCAGGTACCATTTCATATTTTTATTCTCTCTCTGATAGCTGTATTTTCTCTCTGATCTAACCTGTCTTTGCAAAGTTATCTCCACGGATTTTTGAGCAGGCCAGCAGTAACGCCAATCTTTATTGAATTTAAAAAAATTATCCTAATGTTTTCAAACAGCCTAGTAGCTGTTGTGTAGAACAAACCTTTGGCTGCATTGTACCCATTTTAGGTTACATAGGCCACGCTTACCAATTCGTTATAATTATTTATTCAATAAACCGCCCCTTTTTGGTTACGATTACGTTTACCATGTAAAAGTATGGCAAATTTCAAAAGCTGCTTTTTCAAAGCAAATCAAACTTGGTTAAGTTACATAAATTATGTTCAATAAAAATCATGTTTTGATGCGCAAAAACTTCAAAAGCTTTCGTATTTGTACGTAAGTATTTGCTGCAATTGTGTATTTCATGACTTTGCCAAAAAATCGAGATCTCCGAAGAAATAGTTTTTTAAGGCTAAAAAAGGAGACTAAGAGAATCTAAAGTCACTGCGTGGTACATAGTTTGAGAATTGCTCTTTTTGATTCATATTTAACCCCCGAAGCTTTGGAATAAAATTTTCAAAAACTAACCTAACTTTAAGCAGATAAGATTGACGGGTGGAGAATTTTGGCAATTATTAAAAAAAAGCATACAAGGTTGTGGGTCGAAAATCTACCCATAAGAAGGAGAAGGAAAAACTGCAATAAATGCACTTTGAAACTCATTCAGGTCTACATTTCGCATGGTTTTACGGTGGTTTGAAAAATGGACAAAACTTTCGGGACAACCTAATATATTAGGTTGTCGCGAAAGTTTTGTCCGTTTTTTCAAACCACCATAAAACCACGTGCAATAAACGCGTGATTGAGTTCCGACATGCATTCCATGCAGCTTTTCCTTCTTTTTCTTACAGACACATTTCGTACTACAGCTTTGCATGCTTTTTTTGATAGTTGCCAGAATTCTCCACCCGTCAATTTCATCTGCTCAAAGTTTGGCTAATTTTCAAGAATTTCATTCAAATGTTTCGGAAAGGGTCGAGCATGTGTCAAATAGAGCAACTCTCGGACTACAAGGGGCATTGTTAGATTCTCCAAATCTGCTGTTTTTGGCTTCAAAAATTATTTCTTCTGAGGTCGCGCTTTTTGGCAAAGTCACGAAACACGCAAATACACAAAACCTTTGTAGTTTCCGCGAATCGAAACATGATTCTTATTGAACATTGTTTGTGGAACATAACCAAGTTTAGTTTACTTTGAAGGTAGTAAATATACACGAACTGGGTAAGTAAAGTGTGTAAGGATTATATAGAAATTTTTTTGGTTGTATTCCTCCGTCTTCAAGTCTTTTGTAGACTGCTCGAAAAATGTCAAACTTGAGTACTTTTCGTCGATTGCTTGTATCTCTCGCATTTGCTCTCAATGACGTAAAGGTAATGATTGTAAGAATGACTTCCTCTTTTCAAACAAAGGTTCGACGGTGAAGCATGGACAAGCTTTATGTAACTCCCAGCATTTGAACCTTGCCAGTTCTTGCTTGCGTGGGGGGATAGTCACGAATTTTACTAATTAAAGGATCTGATTACAAGCATCAAATCACATTCGTATAGAACTCTGTTTGTCGCTACAGAGCACATTTTCACCAATATTTCCGAACGTATCCAACTCTCCAGTCTTATGTTAAAGGCAGCGTCCGGGCAAAATTTCGCCTCTCATGTTTCTGCCATTCTGGGGCCTTTCCGTGGCCCTGATTACAGTTGTAAAGTGCAAATTGTTCTAAACTCCCAAAAAACGCGGTTCTTGAGGACCCTCTCTTCAAGGAGCGAACGAGTTTCCATCGTCATGTCAGCGGGAGGAGCTGCAACCGTACAGATGCAGTTGCATTGCAGTGTGCAGTGCAACTGCAATGCAACTGCAATGCAACCGCACACCTGCGTAAGCACTCGTCCTCAGGGGTGGTTTTTGATACGAAAGGGCGGCTTGTGATACGTATCACAGTCCCGTATCTCCTTTTACAGGGCACGTCAAAGGATTGCACCAACGCAGATCGGATACTAATGGGCCCCTCTTTACAACCATGTGCTAATCTGGGTGGGTGGATCTTGCCTGGACGCTGCCTTTAACTTCATGGAATAGACGTACCACCCACGGAGTAGACCAAAGAGCGTATTACATATAGATGGTCTGGACAAGAGATTTCAAAGTAATATACTAGTATGGATTCAGCCGAAGGCCTCCCAATCAGCATTCCCGTAGGAATCTGGCGTACTCGGATTTGTCTACATAATGTTTCCTTCGCAAGAACTTATCTACAGACGTGTCCTGTATATTGACAACGGTAGTGCGCAGCCAAGACTAAGTATTTTGGAATAGGTACTATGTATATCTTTTGCCTTCTAATCACGTGCAATAAATGTTATTGAGGTAACATCATAGGTCAGGTGTATTTAATCAAGGGGATCCACTGTAATCTTCGACAGACGATTGAACAAACAATGTTTTAATAAATTTGTCTTTGCGGTAGAGAACGATTTTTTCAATATATTTGTCTTTGGGGTACGTTGAGAATAGTCGATAATAGAATAAGAAACGAGAGCGCAGGTCATACTTCAAGATCAGGTATTTTATGACGATTTTGGAAATCATAGTGTTTATGACATATACTGCGATTTTGCAAGATTTTTCCCAGAAAGTGCATTCGACAACAGTCGGGCACCTAAAAAAACCACGGCAGTAATATATGGACCGGCATGACCAAGATAAAGGGAGAGTGGCTTTTCAAAAAATTTATACCACGGTTGAAAACTGTCTACCTGCCTGGACAGGGAAATATTAAACAGCTTCAACCTCTTTATCTTTTCTCGGTCAATGGTCTAAAACTCCATCAGATGAAACTTCGGTCATGGACTTCGGAGATCTTGTGGTGATTTCTGTTTTCGATTTACTGAGATTACAATAACTCATATTTGCGTTGAAAATGCAATTGCACCGAAGTTCGTGACATTCGGTCGCATCGCCGTATCCAGGTCCCAACAGGGCTATTTTGAATTAAAGTGCGCCAATCGATTTCGCGCGACTTTGATATCAAAAGCTCCCTTTCTGGATACGGTAAGTGCACGGTAGGTATTGAGTATTCATTAGCAGCCACTCAATACTCGCGCTGTTCAGCACACTGAAGTATTTATCGTAAGCAAGGATCTAAAAAGATTTTTGAAACCTATGCGCTTACCGTGCAACTACTGTGTTCGTAAAGACAGTTTCGATGATCAAAATGCGCGAGTTTGATTCATTTATTTAGACGACGCCTCAAGTATGGCCAAGTGATGCAAATGTCGTGAACTCTAACAAGCTCTGATGCCTTCTTTTTCCTATGGCCGGTATGATAATTACATGACGCAAGAAACACCATTAAAAGAAGACAAGAACATGGCATGGAGGGACGAATTCAGAATTCAAGGACATCATTCAACTCATATCTTTTGCTGATGAGTTGTCTATAGATCAATTTCCATGAATCCTCCAAGATTTTTTAGCGTAGGTTACTCCGCCAATTTGTTAATGATAAAGTATATATTCGTTAGTTGCTGCTGAAAGCTACCTACCTGCATCTACCATGTCTAGACAGGCAGTTTCATATACCATAGACGATGTAAGTTGAATGGTGAGTTTGAGGTCAGATATGACAATGCGGCGCAAAATGCCGCGAACTCCTTCGGCTTCTTCTCCCCTCTCCCATTTCCATGTGATTCAAGAGAAGTCCAATAAAGAACCTTTTTGCTAAGCGTGCTCACCCGATGCAGGTTGAGGGAGTAGAAATCTGTATGACGCTCTCTGCGTTCGAGCCATTCGAGCAAAGTGCAAGTATTGCTGCGTTCAAGCAAAATTGCGCCACCACCCACTCTCAAGCTCAAACTATCCACTACGCCTTCTTACATTTCTGAAATAGTATCTTTGCTCTAGTCAAACCCGCGGGTGGCATAACCTTACAAAATAAAAATTCTTGAATTCATAACATTCGGTGTCCCATGGTGCGTACAACACATCACCAAATTTGTTACCACATCGTCACCAGATTGTCAATGATTATTTCCACAGCAGCAAAGAAAGAAAATTTTTTCAGAAAGCGCTTACTACATTGTGTTTACATAGTTTTTTTAATCTAATTCAGCAACAATTCCATGAAACCCATTCGCAAGTAATGACCTTCGACTTTTTGAGATTTTTGCTCACCATGACTTTTCAAACGATTTTTCTTAATTGCAATCACTACGTCAAAACGACAACAAAACAGTACTAGACATCTATGAACGTGCGGTTGACCCTCTGTTAAAAGAAATATATGTTATGAATTTATCAGCTATATAGTAAGCTTCACATCCGCGAAAAAAGTACATATTTACAGCATCTTTATACTTATGGGCTCCCTACGAGCATCCATTAGCTTCTGGTGTTGCTTAAACCGCCGTTCGAGCTGCCTCAATTGTCGATGCATGTATAAGGTGCATAGTAAGGCGCATAAACCAAGCAACAGAGTAAAGACATAGAAGAAACAGAGTGCAAGATCCTCGCTGCTCCACATCCCTCTAGGATGGTTGACAGTGTATTCGACGAAAATTCCTTGCGTTTCAAATTTCTGCAAAGGAGATCAGTATTTGCGATCTACCTGGTAGTAAAATTTAGCGTTCGCTTACCGGTACTGTGATGTTCAGCTTCGCTGTGCTGTTTGTCACCACTCGCGATTCCGCTACCTTCTCGCCAACATAAAGCTTCATTCTCCCTGGGATTTCTACGATAACGACAGGCTGCTCAATGCGGACAATCTCCACCATGTCCAGTTCTCCATCGTAACAGTAAATTCCTTTCAGTCGCGTAGCGACAACAGTTGTCCTAACTAGGGGCTCCACAAGCGCGAACTAAAAGAGATATCAGTATGCAGAAAGCAAACGTAAAAACAGCTGAAACCCACCTTGGCATCGGTGGAATCGTGCCTTTCAATAGTACATCCGCCGCGTTGTCTTCGGTCCAAAGCGCAGCTGCTCTCTTGAGCTCTTGTTTTGCAAAGAAGGATGGACGCCATCCTCGTGCAGTCTCTGTCCAAGTCGCCCACTTCTTCGAGCAGGCTCACGTTGTTGACGAGCATCGACGGCGGCAGGATGTAGTGCGTGCCGAGCTCATGTCTAGCGTACACCGTGCCATCGTCAGAGAACTCTCCCAAAGATACAACTCGCATCAGGAAGCCTACGTTTTCTTCTTTGGTGGTCGGGTAACAGATCTGAAACGAGTTTAATAGCTGCACCTCTGCACTTTTAGAAAACTTCAACTAACCTCACCTCCATAACCCCATTGTTCATAGACACCACGGTCGCCCGGAGCGTCTGACCCGCAACAATGTATCTTCTTTTCAGGGCGGAGGCTTTGAACCTCTTTTCGCCCATCAGCTCTGCGATTGCCGAAAGCAAGCTATACTCACTGTGGCTGATCGGCTGGCTGTTGAACAGTTCCGTGAGGACGTGTTTCACTGCCAGAAACAGCTGCATTCTGATGTGGGAGAAGAGGAAGCCATAGCGTGACCTAGAATGTGAATGTTTTTTATTCCTAATTTGGGCATAATGTTCGTAAAAGCCACACTTACAAACTCGTTTCCACTTCCACCATTTCTTCCATATCATGCAACTCTGTCCTCGTTGCAACAATTCTTTCCAAAATACTCTAAAAGAAGCTGAGCCAGTTGGTGTACAGAATTATATGGTTTGCTGAACTAACCCTTTTTTGCTGCTCTTCCTCTGCATGATTTCGGAGCATGCTTATCACGCCATGGTACATGTCCTTTTTGATAATTCGTGCACTGTTGATTCTGGCTCCAGAATTGGGTACGTCCATTTCATCACTGAAACTGAGAAGCACCTAACGGCAAGTGCGTATCACAAGAATTACAAAAACTCACTTGTACAGCTGCGTAGAGTTCCTGTATTGCTCGAAGAGTGCGCGCATCTCTTTCTTGTGTTCACCCACTGCGTCCTTCTTCAGTTCAGAAAACACCTGTACAAAACCAAGCATTGAGCTTGCAGTGCTACCCTCCTGTCTTATGGAAACAGCAACCTACCTTTGCCTGCGAGTACCCTGCTACTGTTTCTCTCAAAGTTTCCTCATACGGCTCCAATATGCTTTCGAACCATTCTCCTTCCGTGTACTTCTCGTAATCTACAAGCTTGATTTTGGATAAAAATGCATAAAATCTCAGAAGCACTCAGTTGGTGCCAAAGATTTTAACACCATAACACCAATTGTTCCCATCAATGAACACTAATTTTTTAACTGGAGAAAATTGCCCTATGGAAAGTACAAGTTCTATTTCAAATTGTTGTGATTTTTGATTTTTTATTTCCTCAGATACAGCCAGAACATCGGCAACACTTCTGAACTCCCCATTAAATGCAAAGGTGATTAAAATTTTGAGCATTAGAAGAATGACTGAACAGTCCATGTGACCCCTACTATTTATCTCATTTCCCCTTAACGCTTCTATGGCAAGAGTAGTTTATATTTCGAAATTGTTCAAATTCGAAAGCACAGTTACCAAACGGTTGGATACACACAGTAAAAATTTGTCCTTGAGAACAGCAATTACTTCAGAGGGTTTGCAAGTGTCTCTAATTTTAAAGAATTTCCGTTATAATCATTGTTTCGGATTTTCACTACTCAAAACTGGGGGAAGTGTAGAAGGAACCCCTCTATCTCTGGAACAATAAAAGTTTTCACGACATGATTCAAAGTAGTAGGTAGATAAGATTAGTTAGAGTGGAAATGGCAATATTCAAATCTTGCGCTGAGCAAGTTCGAATTTGTCATAGAATGCTCAGCTAATTATGCATCAAGTTGCATAGAAAAAATTGGTTTCACCTTATCATAAAATCTTCTAGAACGGGAAAAGCCAAATTTATCAAAGTTTGCAAATGGTATGCTGGCTCAGTTTCTGAAGGTTCAAATCGTAACTTCCTTCTGCCACGATGTATTTGGACTTAATTAATTTGATTGAAAAGAATAATTCAGGTATTTTCTGCAGGTACCTTGGATACTCTTGATTAAGCTTTACTAGCAGAGATTAAAAGACATCAATTGAGTTTCGATGATTTGAGGCAAGCCGTTTAAAAATCGAAAAACTATGCCGTGAACCGAAACAGTCAGCATTATAATTCTCTGACTCTATCTAACTGACAAGGGAAGCGTCTTTAGTCGAAGTGGCCATTTCAAATGATTCCTATACCACTTTGAAGAGCATTTAACGCTGATTCCAAATCTGTTTTTATTATCTGCCAAGCGCCCCTGGCCGCCGAGTTATGAGTGTTTTTTGGAGTAAAAAATGAAGGCAGATCCTATGTAAAAACAGTAATTACGATATTTCCTGCGCTCAGATAGAGCAGTGTGAAGTATTAAGGTATTAGACAGAAGGTTTTCATTAAATGAAGTGCTCTGATAATGAGCACCTGACCATCTGAGCAGTCTTGGACGATTTTCTTCCAGTTGTGCATTCAGGTTTTTTGACTTAAAAACGCCCATAACTCGGCTTTCAGAGGCGTTTGGCAGATAAGGAAGACGGATTTGGAATCACCGTTCGATGCTCTACAAAGTGTTGTAGGTGCCATGTAGAAAAGCCAACTAAAGACGCTTCCCTTGTGAGCAAAATTAGTGCTAATCGACCTTTTGTTCGAAAAGTTATGAATTTCGAGAATAAACACCAAAAAATCTTGGTAATTTTCTCGAAAATCATAACTTTTCTAAAAGAGCTTAATCAGCACGAGCTCTGCTTATTTAGAAAGAGGAGATCATAAAACATTGAAGCGACTGTTTTGAATTTGATGCGCAGTTTTTAGATTTTCACAGGCTTGCCTCAAATTATCAAATCTCAAGTCATCTCCTTTTTTTCATTTCTATCTCAGCAAACAGAGCTTAAGATGATAATCAAGAGGAGCTTAAGAGGATAATCAAGATGTCTTTGAAAGCTTATGATTCACTCATTCTAGCGGCAATTTTTCCATGCAAGACTGTCGTGACTAGGAGCTACAATTTTTCGAAAATTGTGCAACGAACATTCGGCTGAACCTATTATATGATGAGATACACAATGCTGATATTTTCATTTTTGTAGCCTTTAAATTATTCTTGCTCGTTTCTATCCGAATGTGAACATCTTGATTTGCCAAGCCCTTTCTTGCTAGATGTCTGCCAATATTCGCAACCTAATTTTCTCGCTTACATGTAATAAGCGTCTCCTCCTGTACGAGAATTTGAAAAAGTTTTAAAAAATCCACAATTATAACAAGCCTACTATTGGTTATAGGAAGAGTTAGCGTAGCTATAAAGGCACTGCGGTGTAAACTAAACAGTTTTTGAACAGCTCCTAATTAGACTTTTGTGCAAGCCTTGGCTAAACCAGACATTCCAAAATTTTGAATCGGCATACGATAGCGCTTGCTTGACAGAAAGCAAAAGAAGAAGAATGGATACGTACCTAATAGCACGACTCCACACTGCGGCTCGTGTCTTCCTGCTCGTCTGACCAACTCTCCATGGAATCCATTTTCATGGAAGAGCTTTTGAGTGGCATCGTCTATGCGCGGCAGTCCTGTAGTGGACGCACGAGCCAACGGATGAGCGAGGAACACAGGCCGGCAGAAGTTGATGAGGAGCGCGAAAGAAATGAAGACGATGGACACAAAGCACGTCATTTCTCTGTATCTGAATAAGATTGATGAAAAATAACTGTCACGGAATTTCACGAATAAATAGACATGAATAACGATCCTCTTTGAATTTTTTGTAATTAAAGGCGCGGAATCCTTTCGGCAGTTGCATACCATACAAAAATATGGACGTCTACCTTGACAAGAAATGAACATTACAGCCAACGGATTACAAGTTTGAATAGATTGCTTTTTGCATACCATAACATTTGACGGAAAACACGTTCCGGATTTTATCACCTGTAATCACCAAAAGTTATGGATTCGCCTGAACATAGTACATAATTATTCAAAACGTGGCTTCAGAAATGCTTAGAAACTTTCTAATCTAAGTTATATATTGCAGATGATAAATGTTGTATTTCGATAAGTTTATAATTTTCATCAGAAAGTTGAATTTGAATGAAAAATTCAGAGGTAGAAGCTACAGACCCAACCAAAACGAATGCTTAACGCTAATGCTTAACGAATGCTTAAATGCTTAACTTTGTTGAAAGACAGGGTCATAGAATTATGGTCATATCTAAGAGTTACACTATAGATGTATTATCACACTGAGAGACTCAATTACAAGCAACCACTTTTCGAGTATCTCACTTGATTTGGTACCATTACGATATGCCAACAAGAACTTTAGGGTGAGATTATGATTATTCAAAAAAATCTAGTGGAGGACCTTTGTACTAATAGTACTAACATAGTAAGAGGAAATGGTTGGCCCATTATTACAGATTGGAGAAACAAATGAATCGAACTTATTCCATTTGTAGGCAATGGAATATTCTAGATCTATAGCAACATAAAGGCTTGCAATGCTCTGAGAACCATTCCTGCGCAGGAGTCGTATGGTAGAGGAGGTTATAGTAGGAATGCTACATAAGAAGTATAAGCAATTTGATCTAGTCAAGCAAAGCACATATAATCTATGAGTAAGCAACACTCCGCCCTAAAACCGAGCAGGCTTGACCCCGTCTGCTTGTTTAGGTCTTCGAAGGTTAAGATTATGCAGCAGGGGCTCTGCGCATGCGTGTGCTTGCGTAATTACGGTAAAACATCAAAAGCATCAAAGGAGTTCATGTTTCTCCATTCGTTGGGACTGAGGTGTGCTCATAAAATGGTAATGATAGTGGGTGTCAAGTGGCATTATCAGCTCTCAATACCTAAGGCATGATGTTAACATTGTGAGATAGAATTGTTTATCTTGGTTGTTAACAACCTTAAAGATGGAATTATTTGTATTAACAAAATTAAAGTGTGCTAACTTGATTGATATGCGTAAAGAAAGGAAGGATTATACTGTGTTATGCAGATATGCAATATTCGCTTCGCCCATTGTCAACCGAAGGTAAATTTTCTTTCTGTTCTCACTAGCCTTCAGGTTTCATAACTTTTCAAATCATGGCAGATCGTCTAGAGAAACACATGAGCAACTAATTTTCTTTTGGGCTTGCTCCAGCAAACGCTTCAAAAGTCGTTCAGTCATCAATGCAAAACAAGAGTTTTTATGTGAATGAAGTCTACTTATAAGGCTTACGTTTTTAATTTACTAAGTAAACCTCGGAAGTTTTGCTATACTTTTGCACAGCAACTGAGCAATCTAGGACACACTCATTTTAGAGTGATACGTACAAACATCTGTAGTACCTACTAGGATACTACCGAAGTATCTGTCACTAAAACAGGTGGCGGACGTATATAAACAGGAAGTAAAAATTTCTGGAATTTCATGGGTTTGAAACCATAGCCTCTTCGGTGTGTGTAAGCATTAATTTGATGCCCGGATGTGATTACCGTTTGGTGATATTCGAGGAAATAAAAGCTCCTCCACTTTCCAAGTACAAATGAGCAGATTACACAGTGTAGCACAGTTTAATCGTCAGTACAACTACCACTACAAATTCTAAGGCGCTCAAAGCTAAGGCAAATTTCAAACCTAGTTTGCACAAAACTCCAATCGAACATTTCCTCAAGTCATCGCTATGCTCAGAATATGAAAATCGATCTCGTGCGACTGTACCGCTACCCTCATCCGCTAGGTAGATAGAGCGTTCATTCGGGTGGCGCGGTACAAGTTAAGATTCTTGGGAACAACGCAAGACATTCCTAAGATGGCGAAGACCATTGACAGATTGAGCATCTGCAATTGCTGACTGTTGGCCAGTTCTTGCTTGCACATAAGGGGTAGCACGAAAATTATGATTATGCTTATCAAAATTTTCTTGCGAACATATGACACAGCGCAATAGAGAACTATTTTCTTTAGAGTCTCAACCGTTCTCGTTTGATTTATTTATTGTACTGAGTACATGTATAAGCTTCACTTACAGAGGTTGGAAAGGATTTTCGTTCAGATAGCCATGAGATTCTCCATAACACATTCATGACCATACGATCCACCGGTGGGTCGTACGTACGTATGCTGCCATTTTGGACATACAACCCACTGCTAGGTTCGTACTTTTGAAAACTGCAAGAAATTTTTCGACAAATGTTTAGAGACGATTAATTATAAGAGAGGCCCGAATTAGAAGACTACCACCCTTCGATGATGAAGAGAAATACTAGAGGGGAAAGTTGGCGCCGATGGGTCGTATGTCCAAAACGGTAGAAATCGATAAATTGGTATTGTTGTTGATAGTGTCTTTGAAGCTGGCTTTTAGATAAGCTCCATAATTGTTGAAGAGCATTGAACATAATTGCGGATCATTACAGTAAATGAATTCATTTTCAGAAGGAAGACCAAGCATGCCTTGCCATGCTGTGGAAGGTGTGGTCATGGTGTGGTCTCGATGGTAAAGCTAAGAGACGTTGTCGGGGCTGAACACTCTTTCGAGCAAAAGTCATTGCCTTCTACATAATTTTGGTGGATCTCGATGTAAATCGCGATTATGAAAGAATGCGGAATATTCGCCGCCATAAGTGCAATTTTACTTACCTTTGTTAAGGAAGTCATTGTGGATTAATTCTAGGTAGGCAATAAAAAAGTTGTATCAATCAATGTAAGGGCTTTTGTATTGTGGTATTTTGGAAAAATTACGTAGTGTAATTGTATGTCTACCTTCAAAGCTTAACATTTCATTTAATAAACTTTCTGAAAAAAGGGTGAAAGCACCTTTCGGAGTTGAATTGAATCCCATCCAAGCAGTTACTAATTTATCTGCCCTGCCCACATATAGTATAAGGACTCGTATTATTGCTACATAGTACAGCACATATTCCTAGATTACAATTGATTTACGTATTTCCAACTGGACATTCATCTCTTTGTCTGAACAGACCTGTTCAGACTTTTCAAATAGTTGGTTATGCAAGATGAACCAAAGTTACCGGCGATGGTTTCCTTGAGTGCCAGAAAGATACTAAAGTGCGGTTCATAATTATACGAACACTCAAGATTTTGTGAGTTTTCGGACTTTTTGGGAGAAACTCAAAAAGCCGTTGGTACCACGTGATAGAACACGACTGAAAACGGTATGTGATCCATAAGGATGAAAATTGATGTCAATCTTAGGAGTGTTTTTGCGTTTAATGCGAATTTCTAGCGGTTCATAATTATACGAACACCTTAAACAAAGGTATTTTTCATTCAAGATTGCAATCACTTGGGTCCAAATTTTTTGCAGAGTTGCAGTAACAAAGCCTGACAAATCTGCTACACATCGAAACCAGTGCAGCTCAAAAAGAGGACCGTTACTTTTTTCAGAAGGCTCTAAATGCTTTTGGAGTGAATGCGCTCCAAAAACATCCGTTCTTCTGTGGTTTACGCGCTCTAAATAGCTTCTACCAAAGCTATGAGATAAAATAAGCTCTTGCGATAGGTATTTTGTTTAACGCTTGAAAAATCTTTGTGTTTTCGTGCCGTTTTTCAACCAAGTTCCAACTTTACCATAGAGTTAGCACGATTCCACGCCTCAAAACTCAGCTTCTCTCTTGCGCAAACATTTGATATGAAGCAGCTGCATTGTTTGCATGATGATGTTTCTGTGCCAAAGTTTTTGGGTTTTTTGTAGAACTGATCTTGAGGCTGTGGGCCTACAAACCAGTTAAAGGTGTGATTGCAGTAGTAAGAACAGTGTTTTTGGTGAAATGACGTCTATGTGGCCAAAACAAACACTCAAGGCTGCTGATTTTTTCTAGCCAAATATACAGTCTTGTGAACTCCTACATACTATATGCTTACTTCGTTGTGCGGCTACAGAAGCTGAGTTTTGAGGCTCGAAATCGTGCTAATTCTGTGGTAAGGTTGGAACTTGGCTGAAAAACGGCATAAAAACGCAAAGATTTTCCAAGCGTCAAACAAAATACCTATCGAAAGAGCTTATTTTATCTCATAGCTTTGGTAGAAGCTATTTAGAGCGCGTAAACCAGAGAAGAACGGATGTTTTTGGAGCGCATTCACTCCAAAAGCATTTAGAGCCTTCTGAAAAAAGTAACGGTCCTCTTTTTGAACTGCACTGGGTTTAATGTATAGCAGATATGTCAGACTTCGTTACTGTAACTCTACAAAAATTTGGACTCAAATGATTGCAATCTTGATTGAAAAATGGACCTTTGTTTGAGGTGTTCGTATAATTATGAACCGCTGAAAATTCGCACTAGGCACAAAAACACTCCTATGATTGACATCAATTTTCATCCTTATGGTTCACATACCGTTTTCGGCCGTGTTCTATCACGTGTTACCAACGGCTTTTTGAGTTTCTCCCAAAAAGTCCGAAAAGTTACAAAATTTTGGGTGTTCGTATAATTATGAACCGCACTTTAGAAGGGCTTGAGGACGTATCAAGTGCGCATTTCTTTATATAAACCATCTTTATCGTAATGCAATAGTCAAATCAGAATATGGCTTCTTTATCTTTTTAAGAAAATCTCAATTGTTCTGCCGACTGAATCGTATTATCGTCTGGTATCCTTCGTACCGATGCATGAAGATAATGTCCTTTCGATAACCTTTTCTCTTGCTTTGTGATTGCGCACAGAAGTGG